AGTATTGACAGAAATCAGCGATTTCATCGAAGATCCTCCGACGGAACATCAATTTGATAAACTTAAAGCCCTCCTCATACAACGTACCAGTTTGTCGGATGAGAAAAGAATCCAACAATTGCTCACAGGCTGTGAACTAGGCCCACGTAAACCATCCCAGCTGCTCAGGCACATGCGCCAGTTAATCGGACACCATAAAGTAGACGAGGTAGTGCTGAAACAGATGTGGTTGCAACGTTTACCTAGAAATGTCCAGCAAATTTTAATCATCTCAGGAAAGTCGTATGACTTAGACCAACTAAGTGACATGGCAGATAGTATTTTGGATGTTTTATCCGATAACACCATAAGTCACGTAGCATCTGATAGTGCCACACCGTGTCATTCCACACCCACGGCAGACACACCGATACTCGCCGCCATTGCAGACTTAGCGGCAAGGATTGACAATTTGGAAACTAATAAGTCTGATCGACAAGTCCGGAGACGGACTTCACAAAGAAGGTCACCATCACGACGACGATCCTTCTCACGACAGCGTTCTTACACGTCTTCTCGGGATAGCAATATATGCTGGTATCACTGGAAGTTTGGACGTCATGCCCTGAAATGTGTAAAACCGTGCAGCTTTAGCGAAGCCAACCAGGCTCAGGGAAACGCCTCAGCCAGACAGTGATGGCGACAGCTGTTACTGGCAAGCAAACAAGTCGCCTCTTCTATGTGAAGGATAAAACTTCAGACACTTTATTCCTGGTAGACACGGGAGCAGAAGTTAGCGTAATCCCTCCTTCACTATCCAGGCGATCTACACGGACACCCGGAAAACTGTCTCTCCGGGCAGCTAACCACACAAGCATACAGACGTATGGAGAGCAATCCCTCATACTGGATCTAGGTTTACGTCGGCGTTTCACATGGATTTTCATAGTAGCCGACGTCAGTCACGCCATCCTCGGAGCAGATTTCTTGAGTAATTTCAACCTGTTAGTTGACGTCAACAATAAAAAACTGATTGATAACAACACCCATCTAAAGATCCATGGAATTATCTCCAGCTATTCTGTCTATAATATCAGTATTGAAAGACCAGCAGATTGCCCTTTTTCCTCCCTACTTCACCGTTTCCCTAAAATTCTTAAGCCGTCGTACAACATCGAGGACGTCCCTCACACAGTTACTCACAAGATAGTTACTACGGGTCAACCAGTTCGTGCTCGTCCCCGTAGATTACCCCCGGACAAATTGGCAGCAGCCAAGGCAGAATTTGAACACATGATGCAGCTCGGCATCATCAGACCCTCCAATAGTCCTTGGTCTTCGCCCTTACACATGGTGCCTAAAGCTGATCATGATTGGAGGCCATGTGGGGATTACCGACATTTAAACAATGCCACAGTTCCCGACCGTTATCCTATTCCTCATCTTCATGATTTCTCCCTGACATTACACGGAAAAACCATTTTTTCTAAAGTAGACTTGGTCAGGGCCTATCACCAAATACCAGTTGCCCAAGAGGATATCGAAAAAACGGCCATCATCACACCTTTCGGTTTGTTTGAATTTCTCCGCATGCCATTTGGCCTAAAGAACGCAGCACAATCCTTCCAACGTTTCATGGATCAGGTCACACAAGGTTTGGACTTTGTATTTGTATATATCGATGACGTTTTAATTGCTAGCTCGTCGCCCGAAGAACATACTGATCACCTCACCATCTTATTTCAACGATTTGAGCAATATGGAGTCGTCATTAACCCCAAAAAGTGCATATTCGGTGTCTCCTCTATACAGTTTCTGGGACACCACATAACCACGAATGGTATTACGCCTACGGAGGAAAAGATAGAGTCCATCAAAAACTTCCCCGAACCAGATTCACTCAAGAAGGTCAGACGTTTTTTGGGGATGTTTAATTTCTATCGGCGTTTCATTCCTTCGTGTGCCTCCATCGTCCAGCCGTTAACCGACCTCCTTAAAAATGATCCTAAAAAGTTTCAGTGGTCAGCTGAAGCACGCGAATCATTTTGCAACGCAAAAGATGCCTTATCCAGAGTTACTATGCTATCCCATATCAACCCCGAAGCGTCGCTTATTTTGTGCACAGATGCCTCCCAAGTAGCTGTAGGGGCAGTATTACAACAAAAGATGAAGGGCGAAGTCACCCCACTCGCATTCTTTTCTAAGAAGTTGGAACCGGCTCAGACACGATACAGCACTTTTGGGAGAGAATTGCTGGCCATATATCTTGCAGTGAAGCATTTCAGTTACTTACTACAGGGCCGGCATTTCACTATTTTTACTGACCACAAGCCCCTGTGTCATGCTTTCACTACTTCACTTGATAAACACTCCCCTAGAGAAGCCAGACAGTTGGATTATATCTCCCAATTTTCAACCGACATTCAGTACATCAAAGGGGATGCGAACGTGGTAGCCGATTCTCTTTCAAGAAGTGACATTAACCAGCTCCAAACGTCGGTAGACATCAGTCTTGATCGTATGGCTCAATTACAACGAGATGACGTTGAACTCCAAACCTGCCGCAGAAACTCTTCCTTACAACTCAAAGATGTGCCTATCCCCTTATCAGATGCAACCATAGTCTGCGATGTATCTACCGGCACTAATCGTCCATTTGTCCCTCTCAGTTGCCGAAAAGCATTGTTCGAACATTTACATTCGCTTTCCCACCCTGGAGTACGCGCCACGGTCAGGCTGATCAGCGAACGCTTCGTGTGGCCTAAAATGAACTCTGACATTCGGAGATGGGCACGAGAATGTATCCAATGCCAATGCTCCAAAGTACACCGCCACACTATTACAACCCCGAAGACGTTTAAATTACCCGAAAGGAGATTTCAGCATATCCATATAGATATCGTGGGACCATTGCCAACATCAAGGGGATATACACATATCCTGACAGCGATTGATAGATTTACTCGTTGGGCTATTGCATGCCCCTTAAACGACATATCTGCTGAAAACGTTGCTTTAGTTTTTCTCGACCGTTGGGTGTCAAACTACGGTGTACCAACTACTATTACATCCGACCGCGGTCCTCAATTCCAATCGACACTCTTTCGCGAACTGACGAGACTTCTGGGAGTGAAACATATCTCCACAACAGCCTATCATCCGGCAGCGAATGGTCTAGTGGAAAGATTCCACAGACAACTGAAAAGCTCCCTGATGGCGCAGAATGATACATCTAAGTGGAGTGAATACTTACCTTTGATTTTACTTGGTATCCGATCTACTATCAAAGAAGATTTAGGATGTACACCGGCTCAACTTGTCTATGGCACCAACCTAACCTTGCCTGGACAGCTAGTCCCCTCAGCCGATTCCACAGACGTGAACATTGCCGACTTCACTAACCGATTAACTAGACAAATGCTTCAACTTCAACCAACAGCACCTCGACAATCTCCCCGAAGAGATCAGATCAACAAACATCTACAAACTTGCAAATTCGTCTTCATTCGAGTCGACGCCATCAGAAAAGGATTGCAACCTCCATACGAAGGACCCTTTCAAGTTATTAAACGTTCAGACAAACACTTTACCGTGAACAAGAATGGAAAACGAGAGACTATTTCCATTGATCGAATCAAACCCGCATACACCGACAACGACTTCGAATCTACATCGGCAACTGCGCAATCAAATAATCAAACATCCGATTCCACTCCACCGGCACCAAGTCTTATCCTCCCTCCATATCAAACACGTAGTGGTCGGCAAATCAGTAAACCGGCTCGCTACGTTCATTTTGAGGACTAACAAAAGAAAAATAATTAAAAATTATTATTATCTTTTTCGTTTAGACATTATCATCATGACCGTTAGTATTTCGTCGTAAACTTTGATGTTACTATCACTATTATTTATTTATATGTACCTCACCAAAAAAACAGGTAGTGTCCTTTCCAAAAACTATTGATCTTTAATCCATATTTTTTTTAATGTTTCTTTCCCCTCCTTAATTACTGTGTATTTACATATTTTTCTTTATACATTAAAAATCTATGTTCATGGTTAGTGCAAATTTAAGTGACATGACTTTCTATTTCAATTTTTATTGCTGAACTTATTGTATATGCTTTCAGACTTTACATGATTCACATACCTTCTCGCGTTTATGCATGTTGTAATATATCCCTATTTTTATCCAAAAGTTGCTATTACTATTATTATTTACTTCATAGTTTTACGTATCATTTTCCGGTTGTCTCTCCGGACCTCTAGGGGGGAGCCGTGTTGAGTACGTAACAATGTGATTGTACACTTTTTAGGTACTTGTATAAATTCGAGATATTGTACATAATTTTTGTTTAAATCGCTTCTTGTTGAAATATACATAACTTCCGTGTACGATTGAAAAATACACTCTGCTGTTGGAGACTTCGTCTTCTCCCTGGTCACCTCTACTTACTTGCTCCACTCACACCGTGTTGTAACTTTGGATTTATTGTAGGAGCCTACTACTTTCATCCGAAGACATTTCTACAACCGGAACACAGCAGCTACAGCAGACGCAGTCCAAACAGTTAACGTGCCTGTGGATTATATAATTAATTTGTAGCCGAGGACTTACACTTTATAACCAAGTAATCCTTTTTGTTGCTATAACTCGTCACTGTATTTTTGGTAATATATTGTGATTTAACACTCCACTGACTTGGATTATTACTTTTATACTTGGAATGTTAGTGAACTCTAATATTAGTCCCCTACAAATGTATCGGTTAATTCTGTATTGGCACATAGATGTTACCTAAAAAATACATCGTTGTGATGAATACTGCGTAGGAATTTCGTCAATTGCAAAAAAGGAAAGCGTCTCAGTTGTTTCACCTTTTATAAGTGTACATAATGAAGATTAAGATGTCAGACCTCAAAAATGTATAAACTGCAAAAACGTAGTGTGGAAATGTAGTACGACAAGAATTAGAATATACACGAGACAAATAGAAGAGTCAATACTTCTGACTTACTCCTCCAACTTGAAATAGAGCCTTCTTCAAATTCATCCATTTTTCCACCGTCTGGAGGATATAAAGTAACCAAAACTTTGATAAAATCGGTTATAGTTAGCATTCCTATATAGTTTTGCTTTGATGAATCCCAAAGTATCGCGGCTCGTACATTGTTATATATAAGGGCATAAAATGCCTTCTTAATCTGAAAAAATCGCATGTATAGTTGCAAACTATGATATCTAAGTATCTTACACTGAGATCAGTATCGAGGATTACCAATTTTGCACTTTCGGGGAGTAAATCATAGCAGGTATGATGCTTGAGAAAATAATAATAACTGCTTTTCTCTGATTCTTATCCTTTTATAGTTGATAATAATTCCAAACTTACCGAGGGCCTCAATAGTAAATGTTGGACTTGAACATCCTTGCTGAATACATCAGAAAGTGTGAATTAAATTACCTGATTGAAAAATATCAACGACTTTGTATCTTCAGAGTCAGTTCTTTTCATAACCTGGTTCACATCACCTTGTTCATCATCAGGGCGCGTAAGCATACTCATGCATTTCATTTGTGCGCAAAGTATAGGCCGTAACCTTGAATCAGATGAAGTTCCATGTGATGATTTTAAAGATGCTAAATTTAATATCGTATGATTTCAGAAATTTTATCCAACAAAGCCATCAGTGAGAAAAATTTAGCGCTGGATAGATACTTTTTGGCCTTACTGTAGTGATATTTATTAGTTAAGTTTTATTTCAAAGAAGTGTCCGTCTACATATAGGAAGTTGTTTATATTTATTATCGGTGAACTGATAGATATTGTGTTCTTCCCGTTTCGCTGCACTTGGGGAGTTATCACAAGGGCCAATAAATTTGATGGACTGTTTCGGATTGTGAACAACTGGACTGAAAATATACAAACGAATTTGAACGTGGATGCACATGACTGAGTAACTGAATCCTCTTAATTCCTTTTTTGTTATCAGTATTTACAAGTCATTTAGAAGACTGATTGATCGGATAATTAGTAATTTAAGTAACGCTGGCACTGTGTATCTAATCAGCTGCATGACTACTAAGTTACATCTGTTTGGGTTCAACCATTCTGAATTTACACATCCCTCAGACTTCGTGAGTGCTTTAGGGTTTCATGTTGAGCATAGAACTTACATGCGCGCCACTAAAGCTAGAGCTAGTGCGCATCAACTTTTATCCTGAAAGCCGGTTGTAGAAAATACATCAGCAAAAATACACTTTTAAGCAACAGTATATAAATATTTTGGGCTAGCTTGCATTGTAAAAAAATGTAATATAACATAAGGTTGAGATGTAGAGGATACAATTGCTTGGATAACACGATGACGTCCAAATACCTAGTTGGTGGATATGCAGATGATGAACAAACAGCAGAGTAGATATGAGTACGTATCACCCAAGAATGAGAAGGTATCCGTGCAAAAGATTACTAATACTTGTGAGTACCAGTGGCTCAGTTTGTGGAGAGTCACTAAATTGATACACCCCTTTAGACGAAAGAAAACTATTCATTATGTGTTGAATTTGAATGCCAGAATCCCCTGAGAAAGGGAATTTACATCGTCATAGTTCTCTTTTGTGACAGAAAGTTGTGACTGAATAGAACATGTGTGATCGCTGCTGTGAAAGCGATTCAACAGTTGCATTTGAGGCTGGCTATGTAAAAGGCGTCACTCCCAGGGTGGCCCAGCTTGACATGCTATTTAATTTTCCTCGTAAGTAGGTATCGTGTCAGACAGAGTCGAACATTTTTGACATGGGTGCTATAGTACGCATTCATTAAGCTGAAGATAATTGTGCTGAACTCGAACATTAGATGCAGCGTCACCACAAATAAATGGCGATGAATTTACTATTTGTAAAGTCCTGATTCGTGAAAGGAACGGTGGTAGTTAGCATATACTGATAATATAGTGTGATAATATGCATATGTCAAGCCGATATTCTGAAAAACGGATTTGTGTGATTCTGTCTAGTAATCAGACTGGATGTTAACAAAGCACGCGATAACTGATTCTGTGCTGATGAATGATATTTGTCAGATATTGCTCCAAACCATCCTGAAAGCAGGTTGATCGTGCTTCACATTTTGCACGAAGAGATTTAGGGGTAACCTTGTCATCACTTGAAAAAGATATGGTGTCAATGCAGTTGAAGATTGAACGATCAATCAACGGTTGTTCGCTCAAAACCAACTTCCCCAATTTTCGCGGAGGCATCAATACGACAGTCATCGTCCAATCGGTCGCTAATCAGAAAGAAGTCAGCAGCGAACAGTCAGAAGTAATATCGTGATTCATTATTGTAATATTTGTTCACAGACCTTAGTTGTAACATTGTTTATATGTTGGTGTTACAATAAAGAATTCTCGAGTAGCCAATAGGTGTTTTGGTTTATTCGTCCGTTATTACTAAGCGTTTCTGAGAAACTTCAAGTAACAGCGTGGGCCCGAGCGTAGCGAGAGCTGGGCATTAACGGTTTACGAGACGTGGCTGACAGTTTCTGACATGAAGTCAGTTTCTGACGGTAGAAACAGATCTAGCGGATTCAGACAGTTGGTGAAAGTTTGGATAGTCACCGTTCATTTTTCCTGGTGCCGGTCAAGTCCTCTTTGAACAAGCAATATCTGGGACGTTTTGGGAATTGGGTCAAGTTCAACAATGCCTGGGTCAAAGAAGGGACAGAGTGTCTTGGATACAAACAGGAAAGTAAGTCATGGTGACTTGTCTGTTAATTGTAACGATGTGTCTGATGTTAAGCATGACATGGTTGATGTTACTGTTTCGCTGTCCAGGGATAATGGGAACATCAAACTCCCTAAATTTGAACCACGGTGTTTCGACGGAAACCCGGCTGATTATTTACAATTTGTAAAGGAGTTTGAGATCATGCTGAATAGTTTTTCATTAAGTGATGAATTGAAATTGATGTATTTGATGAGGTATTGCACTCGAGATGCTTCAAGAGCTATACAGTGCTGTAAGTTTATGGAGCGAAAAGAGGGCTACTACGAGGCTATGGCATACTACGTCAAAGGTTTGGAAGGCCTTCGATGATTGAAAGGAACGTATACGAAGCTGTCAAAGGTAACGGCAGTCAACTTCAGGATGACTCAAAGGCACTTACTGAGTTTTTTGATAACCTTATGACTTACAAGAATGCATTGATTTCGATGAATTGCATGAGTGTCCTCAACTCGAGTTTTATACTAAAAGTAATAGCAAGACGCCTACCTACTCGACTGCAAAGGAAGTGGGTGAAGATGAGCTCCCGTATGGAGGATGAGGGTATCGAGCCAAAATTTGATGATATCCTGAAACTAGTAAAAGATAGTGTCAATCTATCTATGAGCAAGTTCGCCAGTATATTGAATCTCAACCCTAGAATAGAGCAGTGTGAGGGTTAAACGCAATCATTGATGACGAGTAGGCCTCAGAGAGGTGGATATCGAGAAGGCTCCATGATGTCTAGTAATGCATATAGACCTAGTGAGTGTAACAGGTTTCGTAGTACATCCTCAACAGATAAGTTACAAGATGCAAGACAAACACGGTTGTGTTGTACACGTTTGCAAGAGGTGCATACAAAGGTGAGCTGTGAACCAGTGAGCAAGTTCAGTGATAAGCTAAATGTAAACTCCAGGCCTGACTCCGATTTGTGTGACGATAACGGTGTGGTCAAGAAGTCTGTAGTTGCAACTGGTAAGCCATTGTTGAATAGAGTGTCACAGAATAGAGTTACTGCTTCAGAGTGCAGTTCTGACTCCACAAGTTTACAAAGTATTGCTAGTCAGAGTGAAGGTATAAAACCTTTAAGGATTTGTGAGGAGGAACCAAAATTGTCTACTGCTGTTATTTAAGGGTTTGAAAATGATGAAGTTGACGGTAAAGTGAATATTCGTGATAATGATCATGATACTTCACAGTTATCATTGGTTGATCATGATGAGATGAGGGATATGCCTACTACTGCTAAGTTGAACAAAGGTTCTGTACAACTTGAACGTGAAGTGGAAATAAATGCAGATTCAGTTGCAGAAGGCATGCATACTTGTGAGACCGTCAGTGTGAGTGATCAGCATGTAGCCCACCTATCATCAGATGCTAGTGCTAAACCTGAGCTGATATTAAATGACGGCAGTGGTGGTGGTCTTGCAGGTAGACAAATTTCTGAAAGCCGAGCAACAACAGCTTTTGATCCACCGCTAACTTCATCAACTGGTGTCAATCAGTCGTCGTTGGTGTTGTCATCCACAATGGAAAAGACGCCCATGAACTCATGTATCTTGTGCAATGACTCTGATAGTATTGGTGCATTTGAAAAGACGAAAGATATTGCTCAGTTTAGTGGGGGTAAGCAAAGTGTAAACGAGAGAGTAATTGTTAAATTGACTTGCATAAATAAAGGCATTTCTAGTTTCAAGTTACTATTTGAATGCTATTATCTTTGGTGTAAATTGATTTGCGCCTACGCTTGGTTGACCAGATACGTCGTGTGTTTGTTCGTCATCTATATTCTACGATACAATGACATGAGCGTGTTACCGTTCAGATTTGAGGATATATCTGATAGAGGGAAGTGTGCAAATGAACTCTGCGACGATTTTCCAACCTAGGGCGTCAACCTGAGAAGGGTTGTAGGCGTACTGGTGTAAGTCCTACAGTTCTTCAAACGGTAGAGCATCAATGAGCAGTCCAATGTGCTTGGTGTGTGATTTTGTACATATGTTCATGTTGTATATACTGAATTGATATCATCTGTCATCTAGCTGTTGGCAACTTTGTTTGTGTCCGGACGGCTTCCACTTGGATCATCAACCTGAGGAGGAATGTAGGCGTACTGCTGTAAGTCCTACAGTTCTTCAAGGGTAGTTTGTCTTATTGGAATCCAAAACATTTGATGTGCTGATTGTACATATGTTTGTGTTAGATAATTGTGTGATTTCCAATTATTGTAATTGTTGGTTAATCTTGTGTGTGTCCGGACGTTCCACGAATTACAATCGTCAATCTGTGAAGGGATGCAGGCGTACTGGTGTAAGTCCTGCGATTCTTCAAGGGAATTACATCAAGACACGATCGGCGAGGTTATTTGTACAGTTTGTATATATGTGTGGTGTGTCATATCAACTGGTGTTTTTTGGATTCATTGTGTTTACTCGTTGTTTCCGTACCTTGTTCTTAGTGCGTAATTTTGTTAAAATTTTCGTCGTGCTTACTTCTGAAGTTGTTTCTTGTCTTCTACATCCGCGAATGAATTGATTGATGTTAGAGACAGCAGATGGGTCGTATACGTCGGGGAGGCTATTGCTGAGAATGACATGCACACGGAGATAATTGTTAGCTGTGGTCCCACACGCCGGGGAGAAATGGTGTAAACGACTGAGGCTCGCATACGTCACCGTTACTAGAACTGAGGCAGAATGAGTGACAAGCAATTTCAGTGATAATTGATTGCGAGTAGATACGAGGACGTGCATGGAGTATCATGAGGTGGTGCTATGGTCACGCTGCATTCTGCAAGAGTCATTCTAGCAAGTGGCTATTGTGTTGCAATAGGATGCCTTTAACTGGAATGC